CTTAGTTTTTGCTCACTCGATCGTAGCTTTCGGCTGTCGCTGTCTCAATGTGCTACGCTGATCCTCGTGTTTGGCGCTTGTCGCGCGCTCATTCATCGCTCGACTCACCCAATCGCTGTTGCCGTCTGTGACTCAAATCCGTATTCTCTCTAGGTCTCTTCCTCTATCCTTTACTTCGTTGACTGTTTCCCACTCGCTTCATTTTCTTTCACTCACTAGAAGACGTCGCTTGACTTACGGGGTGTTTCTTGTATGCGGCTGCCGTTGCTGTTACTGCTCCAGTCGAATCTTGTGACCCAATGTGCCGTTGTTTTTGTGCTTGATGTTAGATCGCATTGCAAAATATCTAGTAGAATGCTGATTTATTTGAAATGGACGCTGTATGATAATGGTCGTGTTGTTTATGTTGTCGGTATTTGTTAACGTTATTGTCCTTATTGCTGTTGAGGTGTTCGTCGATTCTGTGAAGTCAGCTACTCCACTGTATTCGGTTATCCTAGTGGTAACACCGTTATTGTTGTTACTGCCGCTGTTGCTGTTCTTGTGGCAATTGTTAATGTCGCCAAAGCCTGTTTCGAGGTAGTGGAATGGATGACATTTAAATTTACATCGGCAGCGCAGTGGAAACACCATCGTCAGCTAGAACGTAATGCCCAATCATCAAACCGACCGCTCGCTCGCTCGCTCGCTCGCACGCACGCACGCACGCACGCACGCCCGTCCATCCGTCCGTCCGTTCCCTTGTTTTCGCGACCACCAGCCGTGTAGGCAGCGCAGGAACAGCATTCGTGGCAGTCGCAGCTGATTCTTTAGCTGCTGTTGCAAGTATCCTGCTAATCGTAACGGCAGCATCAGCAGTCACTAACTGGCTGCGGCTATGGCCATTGCGGTTAGCAACTTTTGTCGCTGTTATTGTCAAGGCAAGCCTTCACAGAGCGGGGCACGGCTAGCGTTATTTCCGCTTAAAACAACGGCAAAAACTGTCACTGTTTATTGCCGGGCCGCTTTAGCGTCTGGCGTCTGACGAACGACGTTCGATCGTGGCTTAGCATATCATATAGTACGACGACGACGGCAACAACGGCATCGCCACGAACTATTATAGTAAACATGCATATCTTTCCCTTACCTGGAAAGCAAAACCTGTCCTATCCAGCACAGCTTCCGACTGATATCGTCATATATAATAGTAAAGCAAAATATTGAGTAGCGGTAGAAATTTTCGAAATAGTTTTTTCTTATATGCCGATGAAATACATAAGAGACAGACAGCTGAAGAGAGAAAAACATCAAGGTGGAGGGTAATCCCCAAAAATGCAGAAATGCTTGCGATCTAACCGATCCGTGGCAGCGAAATGAGTCGCTTGCTGATTGAGGGATTGTTGTTGCTGTTGATGATGATGGGTGCACAGTCGTCTCATAAGACAACACCAATAGCTACGTCATTAAGACTTTTAGTTGGCCTCAACTTGTGCAGTTTGTTGTGAATAGCCGAAACAACTCGGTTTAAGCGTTAAGCTCCCCACAAACAGCTGATACCTGTTAGCGTTAGTGCCCCATAACCGTAACGGACGAATTCCCTCAGACAGTCCCCGCGGTTTATATATATATATATATATAAACGTTCGAATAATAAGCAGTCGAAATATGCAGCCTTCAAGGTGTTCTTAAAGCTATGCAATCACTGCCAAGTAGACAGAGGTGTTTCGTAAGAAATCAGTAAAGCGCCTCAATTTGTGTGACCTCATTTTCAGTAGTTGGGGGCACCTTTTGACTAGCACAGCATCTATCCGAATACCTGTAAGAATCAGCAGACAGGTCTGTTTTCGACATGTTTGTTTTGTTAAGTAAAAAATTTATGTACTAAACACAAGCTGACTTTCGTTCTAGTTAGCCAATACAGATTCTAGAATACGCTGGTACACACTCGCTCTCAATATCTGCTATCTTTTGAAGTCATGTTGCTGTGAGTGTCGTTTGGTTGATCAGAGAAAAACAGATTGGCTTTTAATTAGTGCACAATATTGAGAGCGTTTGTTCTTTACAAGTGCGATGTTAAGTTGAGATGTAAAAGGTACGTAGCGTCTCTTTTTCAAAATATCTATCTAAAGCAACAGCAAAGACGGCTCGTGTATATATATATATATATATATATATGTTGGGTTCTTTCATTGCCTAGACAAATTACTTATGTTACAGGTCTGACTGGGAAACGCCAATTGAAAATTGAGCAAGGGTCTGACGATTGCAGAGGAATTGCCACTGATCATTTGAAAACAGCATAACCACTATGAACTCTGAAACTAACTGGATTTGACAAAGAGATCCGCATAGTGTTCTCCATACTAAGTGCAAAAAACATACCCTATCTACGATCAATAAATAAATTGCAGTAATCAAAACTAGAAAATTAAACAGGGTTTTCTCAGTTCGTTTCTCTACAATTTGCCAAACCAAATATTGGTCCCATATAATTATAATTCGAATAAGCTCAAGAGGTTGTTCATTAGGGTTTCTATTTTCGAACTTAGCTAACTGAATCAATTGTATTTTATCCATATCAGGCAGTTGTTTTCCACTAATAACCTATATAGTTTAAACGAACTGTTCGTCTTCCTCGAGTGGCTTTTTCGTTGATAAAGTTTTCTCTTAACATCTGCTCTTATATTCAGATAATTACCTGGACCCTGAACGATACAAACACGTTGGTTTCCTACTTCTCTAGAAGCTTCCTTTCTCTAAATTGCCGACATTGGTTATGACCCTCCTTCAACTGTGAGATCCACCATCGTTGTCCTTACGTTCATCATTATTTTCTTCAGCCACTCGAAATCAGTCGCTATTAGCTGATAGTGTACACTTCGTGCTGCGATACAATCTCTATCAGTAATCAATACACGGGTTAGCTAGACAGCGAGTGCAGTGTATGAGTGGTATAAACATGAAGTAAAGCAGCAATAGATTGACACCCGTCAATGACTGGCAGCGGTAGCGTCAAATGTATTGTTACTGGCGTCTTCTCTCCCTATCTCTACCTTATAACATCGACCTATTCCATCCGTGCCTCTGGTGTAGTTTCGTTAATCACGTACTGCTAATCGGGAATGAGCGAAGCATAAAGAACACAAGAATAGTATGGATAATCAGAGGAGTCGAATCAGCTAACAGCCTGCCGGCAGCAGCAGTTAATGTTGTCGAGAGAATTGGACAACAAAAACGATGACTGATGCAAGACGATATGCATAGAAATCCTTTTCCTTGATCGTTCCCTCGCCCTCTCGCCTCCTCAGACTGTTCTTCGACGACACTCTTGTGTGCAAGCACGGGACGGCACGGACGAAGCCCACTATCTCATTTTTCGTATTATCACTGTATATATGATTGCTCTGCCTGTGGGGTCGGACAGGACGTCGCTTCTCGGCACGCCGCTCTGTCGCTTCGGCTTGGCTCGCTCTCGGCCCGATAGGGCGAGTAATTGCCAGAATAATCAGCAACGCGACGGGCAAGGGAGGTCAGGCGAAAATGGATAAAGATAACGAGAGCAACTGTAACTAAAACAACGCCATGGCATAGTCCAGTGAAATGTTATCCTCTTGCAAGGAGCTGGTTGTGTTTAGCTGCTGCCGGGTGTGGCTGTGGGTCTGTCTGTGTGTCTATTAAACGGCGATCCGCCATGCATGGGAGTAAGCAAGGGGCGGGCGACCACTGGACTCAAGGAGTCGGTGCGAGAATCCTTTCATCGCCAGTAGGCGACCTCGACAACATCTACTCACAAAACAATAATTCGCAACAAACAATTGGTTGCTGGAAGAAATCCAGCACTGAAAAGCAGCAGCAGCAAGTTGTACATAAAGTTACATGATGGAAGAGTATGTTGATTAGCTCTGTGTTAAGTTCGGAAAACAGGAGTAACAAAAGCCTACTGAACTGATGACCGGCTAACTGTGTCCTATATAAAATTATGTGTGCATCAAAAAATCAGAGGAAGTTCAAATAGTTTAAGGTAATGAATTTTAAGATCTAAGCTGTCACGTAAGTCTCTACCACTTAAAAGCAAATTTGGATGGTTTTATTGATAAATGTGTTTATGCGTTCTCACCTGAGTCAAAATCGTTTCTGGGTTATTTTTCACCCTAGTTATATCATATTTTGGCATACTTTAATTTTCATGAGCTTACTATTTTGAGTCGTTCTATGGCAAACTTTTTCCATCCATCCAATCCATAAGGCGACTTAGCGATTCGTAAGCACGAGCTAAGATCTCCTCATGGTCAAAGTAGCCTACAAAAGTGCTACAAACAGGCACGAGCTCGAAATGGGCCATATTAGAAATTGCTTAGCTACAATTATACACGTGTATGGTGTAAAGCTTCTAAATAAACAAAATGGAACTAATTAAACTAGATGGATGAATATACTGATTGATTTGATCTATTAACAAACCGCACACATGATGCCCGCTCTCAACTAAGACGTGAAAAAGCCTTCTTCGTAAGAAAAACAAACAGGTGACGAGTCTGTCGAGGCTCTTTCAAAAAATCTAGCCCGTGGTTGCTACTTCCGTTAGGCAGAAATGATTCTTAGAGTGGCAAAAACAAATATATATATATATATATATATATATCATATTCGATTCTGCTGAATGACGATCCGTGTCGATGTTCATGAGTATCTTAACGTAAAACGACTACAAGCGAAACCTAACGATATGCTTCAAACCGTTATGTAAACAGCAACGTATCAGCGTACAACTGATGTGTACATATATTTTTCAACTGCTATTGTCATGAACAGACAGCAAATTTATGATTCAAGCATCATAAAAAAACAAACAAAAAAGGCCATCGTCATTATCACCACCATCAATAGACGGGTGGCCCACCCATTGTAATATATGCACGTGACAGTACTAGCTTTCTATGGTGTTTAAAGTAGCGCTTACGATACGAATACTCTACAAACAAAATTTAATTATGCTGTTTATCCATGCGCCGTCTTACCTTAAGTGCGTTGAGGTCGATGTCATCGAGCGAACAGTTGACACTGGGCGCAACGGCCATCGTGATGAATGCTAACGGTTGACATCGATGCACGAATGAAAAAAAAAGGGAAAAAATGAAGGTAAATCTAGTTAGTTAAGTTAAACTAGCAACCCGCGACCATTTAAACGGTTCACTGTACTATATTTTGCGAAAATGTAGTAAACAAGGCACGAAAGCAGTATCGAATGAATCAAGCAGGTACATACACAAGGGACGTTGCGTGGTGAATGTAAAATGTTATTACATCTTATATTTAATTTGTGTGAAGCACGCGGCAGTGTTTTTCGCATAGTAGATGCATGTGAGCATGAGCACGATTTCAACCGAACAATGGATTATTTTTATCCCTTGATAATAAACTATATGCTGTTCTTAATACGACCATATATACAAAGTGATGATAATGTTTTGAAATAATTTCGATGTCGTTTGCACATCCTTGACGCACGTACCTGTTCAATGTGTTTACGGTTGACCTAGACTCGAGCTTTGATATAAGGCCTAAGCCATCCATAGTGTTCAAACATTCCCACTTTTATTTTTAACGCCTATTTCATCATGGTAGTGAGAGAATCAGTGCTACTATTCCTATGCTTTTTCTTCAGACTCTTGCTCCATCACGCTCGTTACTAAGAAAGCTAGAAGATCAAAACCTAGGTCTTTAGTCGTCCAAAGGTATTTGCGCTAGAATATGCTGGCCGGTTTTTCATTAATTTGCCCAAAGAAGTGGACACGCCATTTACTTGAGGGGCGTATAACTTAAAATGATGACGTAGCCATTCCTTGGTTTCATCAACTTTTAAAACATTGAAAGTAAGCTTTGTTTACAAATACGCCATCCCGAAAGAAAAATAGTGACATCACTCCTACACTGGCCTTAACGTTTAGAGCGTGGACATTGGCAAAAATTACAGTTAAACACGTCATTCGCTTATACGTTTTTTCAAGCATCCGACGGTCTACTTTTTAAAAAAAGTAGACTGTCGGCTACTTCAAAAAACGTATAAGCGAATGACGCCAAAGGAGTTTCTTGGCTGTGTTAGCTTGTATAACTTCAATGACTTAGGACTTGAACCTAAAGTACTATTTAACAACTCGAACAGTGGTAGGTTTAAACGTAATGCCTTTAGCCGGTAGGGCGCGCACCGAGCAACTAGGATCGTTAGAGACGCATTTTTTCACCTGTAGTAATTGTTAAGTTCCTGATGCGGGTTTCGTGCCTTGCTCCTCCTGTACTGGCCTACGGAGACTTGTTTCGGTTTTTTCAGCAGCCGCATATTGGTCGCAACCAACGACTTCGGATAACCAGGGAAGTTAATAGCCTCAATGGGGGACGAGCGAGAGAGAGAGGGTGGGGGGGGGCAGGATCGTCTACACTGGCAATATCAGCCAGCAGCTGATTAAATTTCAGTGATCTCCGTCATAATGAGCTTTTGCTCTTATTCTAGGCAAACCAGTAACAAAAATATCGGATAGATGTGTGTCGACTATGATAACAATCAAAGAAGATTTTTTCGCAATGTATTGCTGTCAGTTTGTACACGCAGTCACGTGGGATACCCTATTATTGGTAAACTCTACTACTAATGATCATACACGGCTCGTTTATTTACTTTAACAGGGACTTGAGTCAAGTGATCAATTCAGCACCCTTGTAACAGGCTAAAAAGAGGGAAAAATTAACACAACCAAGACACTATGCTACGCACCTCTTATACAACGCCGGCATCAGTGACTACCGCAGGCTTAAGGACTATAGTTGAATGTATAGCCTGTCCGAAATCGAATCGATCGAGCGAATTTGTCAAATCTACTGATGGCTATAACAATTGCTAGCAATCGGCGAGTGTCTTAGAGATGGAGAGAGAAAGTATTCTGGAGATAAAAGAACGGCTGGAAGCAAACAGCACAGTGGGGTGTTTCCAACACAGCTATTGCGCAACATCACCAAAATCGAACGACGCCAGTACCGCGAAACCGAATGAGAGTGTCGTCGGTCGAGGTCGAGCTGGAGGCTGTTCGTATAGGTTGTTATTGATATTGTCGTTGCTACTGCCGCAATTCCTGTCGCTGTTGGTCAGCAGCTGCTAACGGCCGTAACCAGATCAGAAAATGGCCATTGTGAGCGCCACTTATGCTATAGCTACTACCGGCCGACGCAATCACCAGAAGCATCATGAAGATACTAAATAGTGGTATTACTTGTAAGTACTGCTGGGGAAGGTACAAGTGGCTTAGCGGACGGAGGCTGCTGGTGCGTCGGTTATGGTAGGCCAATCCGGCACGAGCTTGTAAACGAATTCACCCACTGGCCTAAAGCAGAACGATCTAGCCGGTCGATCTAACTGAGCTTTACTTACTACTCTTAAGTGTCCGAAAGCTCCCACGATAAGCACGCGCAACACCCAAACAACGAAGCGGGATAGCACGAATGACAAATTTATTAAGACCACTAATACAACCGGTCCAGCTCATGCTGTTTGTACACTACTAAAATTAATTACGAACTACTATTGAACGTGTTTTCTATTATATTGGTAGCTAAATGTCTCGAGTTACCGCCGCGAAGCTTTTCACCGGGCGGCTGGCTCCCAGCACGAAACGAAGTGTGTCTATGCCCGGATGCGAATCTAAACCACCACGGATTCCTAAGATTAACAACCATGTGCCTTATTCACTAAGCTATCACCGGGCTTGTACGCTGTGAATAGAAATCATCACAGTTTACTACGGAAGTATGTGCTCGTGGGAACTCACGATTCCCAGATTATGCTGCAATGCAAGTAATGGAGTAAAGGAACGTTTTAAAATCCCGATAATTTTAATCTCTAGTCTAAACAGAGATCCTTCGATCTCTATCGATCGATCACAACCAGAACCTGCCTAGCTAACCGTTTGAACTAAATTCTAGAGACAGCTGCAGCCTTACCCACGGGCTTCTGCTATTAAAAACATATATTTTACCGGTGCATAAGTAAAGGGTAATTATATTTATAGGTATAGGAAGTAGGGTATAGCTCCTAGAGCTAGCTCCCATACAGTTATAACCTAATATAGCCTAAATACAATATGTCACACAACACATTGAGGTCACTTATTTATGAGCAAATTTTTCACACTGATGATAAACCAACGCAGAAGGTGCTGTCGGCATTTCTTAACAGTGGCGCGATGTTACTCTCAATGTACTTGAAAACTGAAAAATTGTAAGTTCTTGCGCTAAGCCTATGACCAAGAAAATTAATAATACGCTCAATGGAAATTAACATACTTTGTCCTCTAGGGGCAGAAGTCTTTGTTCAATCAGTTCCATCTACCTTTTCAGGAGGAAACCTTAGCAACCCACAAAAAAACATGGCAATCGTGTGAGGTCGGGCAAACCCGTCACTGAGACAATACAGATTGATCGGTTAGGGAAATACAACCAGATCAGCTAAAAAAAAAACTAAAAACTGTATCAGGGGAATCGATTTAGTTCCGTCGAATAGTATTAAAGGGCTGGACAACTGCTGGGCTTTTTGGTAATGCTGGCAACACGCACAGTGTGGTATTAACCGTTGTAATAGCGATGGAGTAGCCAAGGTGGTAACCCGTAGCACTGGACGGCCGAAGCATCGCGACACAGCCACTCCCACGCTCAACTGCCGTCATCATCGTCATTGATGTAGTTGTAGAAGTACAAAATAGCAATGGTTGACATTGTTACTGGCGCGGGCCAAACTTGACAACGACGATTTCGCCAAGAAAACAAATGCATGCACATACTTGGCAGAAGGCTGCACCAAAAAACAACCTACTTTTCTGGTTTAATAATTGCATGATAGGGTTATGGTATCAGCGAAAACAGCACATTTATAGATCGACATTTTTTTCGTGCTAAGGGTCCTCTGTGATTCGAGAAGACCTACTTTCCTTTAATAGCGGCACAGCAAAACAGAAACAAACAACAAAACCTCAGTCACCTCTTTGTAGCTATGTTGTGACAGCTCGTAGCGTAAGCATTATACAGATTTCCAGTCGTTTTTTCACGGAACTTTGTAATACACGGCGACATTCGAATAACTACAATAAACAAACAAAGTGACGGGCATTATAGAAATAGACGGTGGTCTATTATTAAAGAGCGCGGTTTTCCATAATGCTGAAAAGAATCATCTATTTGTTATCTGCCTCTTAGTCATTCTTTTTCCTTCCATTGTGCCATTCTCTGACTGTTGTTATTTCATCGGCTGAGTTCGCACCTGATGGCCTGCTGGCGGCGTCCGTCGGCTGGAAGAACTGTTCCCCTTAACAGGCTCTGCCTGGACCGCTGATCATTTCACATCGCATCTGCACCACTACTGTAACAGAAGGATGACACCGGACGATGGGTGACGAGCACATACAACGGATACACTAACACAAATCAGTTTAAATCAATGCTCCTTTTAATAATTCGATTGCCGTTGCTTGCTGCCGCCTCACACACAATCATACAACGCAATACTGGGGGATGGGGGCTTACAACATAACCTGGTAGGTACACAAGCACACAAAGAACGAACTCTTCTTCAGGCACGATTCCCTCGCCTTTCTCCAGATAAGTATAATTATATCCAGCAGCGCCGTATCCTCTACAATGATATAGCAATAAAATCCCTGCGGAACACCCGATGTTTGCACGGCATTATGACACAGCACACGCACACCAATAGCTCTTCTTTCTCCACAGGCTACAATGGGTCTAGTAGTGGTGTTATTCGCGATATATGAGTTCGCTGTAAGTGGCAAGCAACTGGCCAACTCGAACGGCGGCGGACGCAATGCACGAGCTGCGATAGCAGTACCCAACGTAACACAACCGGCCCGGCCCGACCCGACACGAACTAACGCGGATCGCCGCCACTAGTGGAATGAAGAAGCAGTCGCCAGTCAGCACGTCGAGCGAGCTAAGGATTGACGGGCACGGCGGAAGGACTGACTATGACGACAACGACGATATTCGTGTTGGTAGTGATAGCTGGAGCCACTTTAGCGCTAGTGATGTTCGATTCTGTCTCTGTTGTACTGTCGCGACTGTGACCCGCTACTGCTGATTATTCACACACAGAACCGAGAGCTAGCAAGCACGAGCGCTGTATCTCCATGGAGTTGGTGGTCTCTCGCTATAGAGCTAGTCGTCTGCCTGTTCGATGCTTGTTGTTGTGCTGGGAGGCGGCTGTAGCGAAATGCTATGTCTGAACAGCACACAGCGCAAGGCTCTCAGCTTGTTTGAGCCGTCGTCGTCGTCGTCGATTCACTCACTGACGGCTGATTGACGACTGACTCGAGTTTCTTTAGCTGCTGCTGCTGCTGCTGATGCTGTTGTACGCGAGTCAGCAATTTACTTGCTAGATTCAACAGTGGCCAGAAGAGGCGACGGCTCTCCTACGGCGCTACGACTCTATAGCCAGCAGTCATCATAGCACAACAACGTTGAAGTAATCACACCAGTAAGCGAGGCTGTAGCAAGCACACCGATCATTAGCCGCCCGTTGCTAAACACCTGCGCAGCAGAACAGTGCCCAGCACGAATGAACCTCAAATGGCCGAGCTCTTTTTTGGTGTTTCGTTTGATTTGTCTCTTTTTTTTGCTGCTACAGTATTACCGCAGCATGCCCCGCCATCAGTAGTCGAAGACAGCCACGACTACTTGCGCCGTCGGCCACCACACTCGTCGTTCGGCAGCAACCCCCGTAGCTGCTGCTGCTGCTGTTGCTTTTCTTCTATCTGTCCTTTGTCTGTTTGTCCACTAGTCGATCGTTCTCCGCTGATCGCCGTCTGAGTCACACTCGACTAGAACAGAATCAGCACAGCACGGCAGAGGCAGCACCAGCCGCTTGCTCAGCGCTCTCTTATTCTTGGTTTACTCACCAACTCGCTCAGTCGCTCGATCACTGCTTACCGCTGCTGCTCGCGACTCGCCGCCCTCTGCTGCTGCTCTGTGTGTCTGCTACTTTTACGGACCACCTTTGCTTGCTCAGTTCCTGCTGCTGTCGTTGCGACGGCGGCTGTACTGCTGCTGTTGTCTGCCTCTTCGCCCACCGTCTATCCAGACCCACTCTGCTCTTGTTCTGGTACTCTACGGCGGCGGCGGCGGCGGCGGCGGCAACGGCAGTAGCGGCGGCGGCAACAGCACAGCAGCAGCTTCTGCTGCGCTTAGTCCGCTTGAACGCGGCTGATTGTAAGATGCCCTACCGGTGGCAGCAGCAGCAGCAGCGTGTTACAATGACTAACATCGCCCGATGATCAAACGCCACTTTAGTCCAACGACACACACAGACCGTGCTCGTTACCGCTAGAACGAGAGAACGCAACACGGGGTAGCGGCAGCGGCGGAAATGACGACGACGGTGGCGAAAACGACGACAGTGACGAAGAATCCGATAGGCATACCATTACACAGCACCGCTCTGCTGTGAGAACTGATAGAGTAGCTGGGCCCATTCGCGCTGTCTGCGCCGGGTATACGGCCGCTAGTTAGCTAGCCAGATAATCCTGTTCCTGCTCGCCAGCTCTCTCGCAGTGTCGTTCTCGCAACATGGCGGCTGGACGATGTGGTGCTGATGGTAGCGGTACCGCTGGTGCTACTGCTGGGCTTTGCTGCTGCTGCTGCTGCTACTGCTGCTGATGCAGAGGGTGAGGGCGGAGAGAGGCGCTGGCGAGCGACCAAGAAACAACGAACAAACGTACGGTTGAAAAGAACGGGCGATTCGACTGGAAGGTCCAACCGATAGCAGAAGAAGCAACAGTAACAATATTCCAAAAAAATTAGTAACAGCAGATTTAGCGGAGATAAAAAAAGAAGAACGAAGGAGTATTTGTTAGGACGGAATGGGACGGGCGACTAGAAAACGGGATTGCCTTGAGTTCCCCAGTCGGTTTTAATAGAACGACGAATATAACGATCATGCTGCTGTTGTTGTGCTGATGGCAGGCTGTGTAGGAGCTTGTTCTTGGGTAAGTTTGGCTTGGTTTCCGTTACGTATGCGAACATGGATATGGCTAATGCATGATCGAAACTCACAGGTGCTAAATGATGTGGGTAGAACGAACCAGAAATAAAATAATTAAAAAGTTATCACAATTAGAGTCTAAATTTTATTATGTTAAATTAAATGTTGTTATAAATATATGGAAAAGTTACTAAGCGAGATTCGAAACTGCAGTGCAATAGCTAGACTAACAACAGTAGAAGGCAGCACCAGCATCAGTGTATCATAAGTGGAGAAAATTCGCTAAATTGTTACAACTATAATTGATTAGGAAAAATGTCATTAATATATTTTAGTGTCATCAACTGTACATACTGAAAGAAATCGTGATATTTGGTAGCAATCCGTGCGGCATAACAGCGGTGGAGGTGAATAATTCAAGAGCTGGCGCGCTTCCTCGCCTTGAATGAACGCATTCGCTCGGCCATCTTGTTGTAATAGAGAACTAGTCTGTGAGTTGGGTTATTCATCGTTCGCGATATTCCAGGCCAAAAAGCCGACGGTTTTCGGCGTCATACCTAGTAGCCCATCTACGGGCATTAGCTCCGCGGCTCGACCAAGGTATGTACATACTGTGGGTGGACCGGCTGTAAGCACGCATACATTAATTTTCTAGGAAAGCTGTTGCTTATCAAAGCTAAAAGCGTGTTACCTTTTGGCTTGCTGGGCCCCCACCGCGCACTAGAAGAGGCCGGTATGTCTGATCAGATGAATCTTGTGTTTTAGTCTTTATCGCGTCCGGATTCGAGGAGTTTAGGCCATACTAGGCTTGACCTACGAGGGTCCGAAGCTATTAGCCTCGACAAATTTCTTAAATGACATAACTAGCTGCTGCTGCTGTGTTGATTTTGGATTTCGTGTAAAGTCGTAATAGCTAGCCAGACGGATCTATGAACAATGGATCATCCAGCGATTGCTATGCCAATTTAATCAGCCAGGCTGCATGATAACAACTCAGCTTTAAGGCACATCGATCCGGCCACCGTTAATGCCATATGAAACACAATATTTGTGCCCCTCTACGAATCTCATACAAATATGTGTCCCTTTAACTCTAGGCCGTTTTTGAGCCCTGCATTATTATTGCGGGCTTTACCCAGCAGTTGAGTTAAATCAGTCTATCCATCAGCCATCCATCCATCCATCCATCCAGCTAACCAGCAAGAGCTAATGGCCATCTAGCCAGAGGACTTGCCCACTGGCAAACTCGCATCGCTCGTTGGTTTCGTTGTGGTGTACGTACGTACGACACCCGTCCCTGGCCGCTTTGCTGAATAGACGTGTCTAACTCTTCACAGTACGTAGTACCTCCAACTTTCTTTCCCTATGAGAATGTGAGTGTGTATTACTGATGTGGTCATTTCTGTGTGTAGCTATGAGCTTGTGTTTGTGTTTGTGTGTGTGTGTATGTGTGTATATGTATATGTATGTATGTATGTATGTATGTATTTATGAATGTTAGTCTGCGCTTTGCTACTCAGTTTACCTCCAAGTACATCACTGTACCTGTCTGTATGGCTGCTGCGTTTATTGCTATATTATACTGCTAGATAGATATTTTTAAGCACCTAGAGCTGTTAGTGCTGCCGCTCCTCCAAAGCTGCTGAAGTCGATGTGCGTCATGTGAAAATCTTTTTTTTCAGTAGATTTTAAAACTGAAAGCAGGAAAAAAGAGAGCAAAATAGACGAAGAATAGAAAAATAGATCATTTTCCCTATTTGTCAATGGCTCCCCATAGTTCCACAAAATTTTTGATTGTGTCGAAACTATGAGCTGTTTCATCCAAGAACCCGGTGCACCATCGAGTCGATGCAAGTGCAAGCCAGTGAGTCGTTTGCATTGAAGTTCGTCTGAAATTAGGGATTACAGATACAATTCGTCAAGAGAGACTCGCTAGCAGCAAATTTCGTTCCTTGAACAACCTTGGAAATTAAGAAGCCCTGTACAGTAAGACGACTGTGACTTGGGTATAGCAGCGTTTTAGTACGAGAAATAATTGTAGTAACACTTGCAATGGTCGTAAGCTGTTTGTAAAGTGTGTGTGTGTGTGTGTGTGTGTGTGTGTTCTACCCAGCGCTGTTGCGCAGCGTTCCCTCTCCTTGACCCCGGAAGAAGGGAGGGGAGATGCGACCTGGGAATGCCTGTGGGGTGTTGGGCTGTAAGATTTGGGAGTCGCTGGCTACCAGGGCGGGGTACTAACCCCCAGGGAGATCTACACCCCCGTCTCTTAGGTACATTTAACAAAAGTGGTGCACAGTGGCGTACTAGGAGATTGCGTGTCGGTTGGATTGGCCACAGGATAAAGGAAGGAATTTTCTGTAGGTGTTTGGAAAAGTCCAACACGCTGATTCAATCACGAATACCAGTGGACGACAACAGTGACCAAACAGATAGTGGGTTGGTGCATTTCTGATACCTGTTTTTGCCTGTTGCCTCCTATTATCAACAGTCAATCAAATATCACGCAACTTCACACAATGTTACGTAAGTGTAACAACCGTTGTGTCCAGATCGCAAAATTCTACCCTCAGTTCTGGCCTTAAAAATTGGTCTATCGAGTGAAGAAAGGTAGTTGGTGTATTTAACATTCTCCCTAATGTCAAGACGTTACAAAAGCAACTGTCGATAATTGTTCTGCGCACGCTGAGCACTTTTTAGATGAAAGATGTAGGCCTACTGAATAAGCATCTTCAAAAAAAAAGCTCAATGCGACCCTCGACAGGTTCGACGAGTTAAAGATGTGACTGCAAAAAGCAGAGTGCATTTCATAAATTAGTGGTGCCATTCCTTAATTTAGCAAGTCGTGCTTCGGTAGTCCTGTCAACTATAGAGTTCCGAACAATCAGTTCCAAAAACGCTCTCTTGCCATTTAACATGTTTACTGTGGCTCTTTATGAAGCTAAAATCTTGTGATCTGTGCAATGCGATGGTTATAGGATTTTTAAGGCAAAGGAAAAGCTAATTGCAAATAATCGATAATCAGCAAGTAAGAATTTAGAAATGGGGAACTTGTTAGCGAAAAGTTATTTATGCATTAACCTGATCTATGTAAATATGGAAGTAAATACTATTCGTTGGTAACCGATGGCATAAATGTAGTCGTGTGTGCGCCTATCCATGTGATGAACTTGGCTTAGCTCTTGGCCTTTACTCTTTACTGGCTTATCGAATAGGTCCAGATACAAAGGCAGTCCTCTCCTGCGACTGATCAACCGATAGTAGTCAGTCCATACTCCTTGGAGAGGTTCCCCTGTTACTTATAAGGACGCAGCACCGTTTTCGCCAGGTGTCTGTTTAGCTGGTAAGCCGTACAGTGTCACATACATCGTCATCCAAACATACAAAGTAATAACAATACACTCATGGACGAAAAGAAGCGGTGTCCGCAGCACGAAGCTTGTCGTCGAGGGATACATATGTGTATTAGTAGGTGGAAGGCTGGACCGCAGAGCAAAAATCTTTTCGTGTCTCGTGTTGCTTGTTAAGGCTTGCCTGTGCTGCTGCTGCACTGTCTTGTGTGTGTATTGATGTGAAGCCCGTCCATTTGCGTGCGTCAACAGGATAGAGATCGTTAAAGTGTGCGCAGACGTAACAGGGTCTGGCGCATAACAGCAATGATACTGCCGGTTAAGGGAAGAAATAAGTCATGGCTAGCGACAGCTTCTTACAAACGACGTTGATTCATCCTAAAGTTGTCGACTTGGAAAATTTAAGAACCTATGTTATTAACGGGTTCGGATGGCCGTTCACTGTACTATTATTACTGTTTGCTCGTGTATTGCATATGGTAGATGGACAAGAGTAAAGAAATGGGAAAACATGCGTACTGGATTTTCTTGATTCATCTCCCACTTAGCCGTAAGCAGAGGAAGACCGAAGAAAACAAATGGGAAGATGTACATAGAAAATCGTTTAGGTACGAAGGAAAAATGATGCTGAACATCATTGAAGGAGGAGTAGCAAGTAGTAGGCGAGAATGAACGAAGATTATAGACTACCATTTGTGTCGTTGTCGGTAACAGGTTGTCACTGGACTGCGTATGCATTAAACAGCATTCCCGAGTACGTTGTGTGACGAGAATTTGCTACTAAACCATCTCGGAAACTGTACAGAGACGAGAATAGTCATCGAACTAGATCGACTTGCGATTTGTTTCACAGATAATTTTTGCCTATTTGTTTAAAGCGTCTAATTTTATAGGTTTATGCCTGTAGCGTTTTGTATCAACCGTTTGACAAAGAGGGTTAAATTATACATTGTTTTTATATCCTATCAAAAATCTTGTTTTGCGTAAGCTTTGGATGACTATCTCAAATGGTGCTGTGATGCTTTTCGCTTGAAATTGGAGTAAAAAAATTCGTCTTTATTCATTCAGTTTATGGAGGACCGTTTGCTAGCTTGCTATGGCGTGCAGTTGATTCGAAACTGCCCGCTAAATCACTCCTAAGTGATCGACAAGCTAAGCGAAGCTTTCTTACCCGAAATTGCCTGAGATTCTTCATCTTGAAGGTTCTCGGGAAGTTCGAAACTTGAATATTATTGAGAAGTTTCTTTCTAGCATTCTAGCATTTTCTAGTCGTGGCAACACATCGTTAATTGTCCCCGTTCCCAGTTTACATTTGACATGTAAACTACGTTGTCTTGTGAAGCATCTTCTGGATGTCAGCTTTGTTGCTGCCTTACATTGCAGATTAGTTATCGGACTGAGAAGTCAACTAGTAGTAAATGTTTGAGCGCATGACGAATCTTCCACCGAGATTATAAACTTCTTTCATTTGCCGAGACTTACGTTGTTTCGTGTCTATAAAATTTCCGAAGAATTTCATTCCGACATTTTCATAAAGCGAGACTCGAAATCAAGGTTGGGGTTTCAACTGAGAGGATTTAAGTCGGATGTTTTTGTGGAAATTAGCGCTTGCTTTTGAAAACTCAGTATTTTTTTGGACACTCTGGAGGGTGTTACGGACGAAGAAGGTCTAATGACTAGTCTTAGTAATTTTTGAAGCTTTTAACATACTAGATTTTTAGCATCAGATAAGAATCATGGACGTACTGTACGTACTTTGGCGTAGTCTCTTCCGAGAAGCATCATAGTTGCTGTGGAAACGCGACCGGTTAATCAAACTATTTTAGTAAAATAGACAGATTTTAGTAACTTACGGATAGTTAATTACTATAAGCATTTGTGAAAAGTTCATCTGCGATCGGTGGATTTGAATCGACACTGCAGGAGAGTCGCCAGAGCGGGGAAGTAACGTCCGGCAGTATAAATCAGTATCGGCAATTGGCACAATTCATTCATCTGCACTTTCTCATCAGGCAGTGTTTTGCAATTTTTCAGTAGGAGGAATATTTAAAAGAAGTGGCTCGTATACCAGAGGACGGTTCGATGAAAATGAGAAGGCGGATAAACCTGAAATACCCAGTGCTCTCTCCTACTTTTGGTTTCCTCAAGGGACAAAAAGCGGGTGGAGAGCGCAAAGAAGTAAGACAAATAGATATGCCCACATCTCAAGATATGGAACGTATTGATAGAAGCCGCATATGAGCAGGGTTCCGCATAAAGAATTATTAATGGAGGGAACAAATGTCAAATATTGAAGACAACAAGGATGGCGAACAGCACAAACCGAATAGCTGGTGCAAAACGGCGGAGAGCATACGTAGGTTTTGAATTGGCAATTTTTATGAAAAATCTAACTACTAAAACCTCAATTTATTAAAAAATAAATGAAAACGTTACCTAACAGAACGTTGCCTTGTGCTATGATCGGCTTTTTCGTGGAGTCAGATTTACAACCAGTTGTATTGAGCTAAATGAATCCTCGCTTTTTTGAGTTATTATTTGTATTATTACTAAATAATAATCATTATTATATGGAGCTAGATGTGTGTTCCTGGACAAAGATGTATAATAAAAGATACAAGTAATACGATGGGGTAATTGCCTTTCCTTTTCGAGTTTATTTCAAGCCTCTACCTAACTCGCTCATGATCCTTGATTTGACAAGATAGGTTTATACGAGGCACTTAAGCAGTGTTTCATAATTATCTAATCGGCGTGGTTAGTACGATTATATCCCTTCGTCAATACGCTAAAAAGTTTCGCAATGTTATCTTGGCTGGTATTTAAACATATTTGACTGCAGTGGAGATTTAAAAACTTTCTTATTCAATGTTTCTATATCAGTAGTGGAACATGCATAGCACAAGTTACAGATTGCAGAAAAACTTTTACAATCACGAATTTTTGGTGCGTATAGCCCCTTTCGTATCAAGCATTTATTCGACTATAGTTGTTGTGCGTATGCATAAACGCAAAGGATAGGGGGTTAGTATTCAATGCAGGATGGGGGTCTCCGAATCTGTAGAATTAACGGTAAAAGGTAGCAACAGCGCTAACTAATTTGGTGCGTAATTTTTATCAGGTGACATTTAATTATTTTGTATCAGCTTCGCTCTTCTTCTCTGCGACGCGATGCCTTATGGGATAATAGGACGACTTTTTCGCTTAAATTGTTAACTACATTTATGCACTGTAAAGGTCACGGATTGTGACCAAGCAGGAAAATCTATTTGTTACAATATAAGTATTTGCATCAATAATTCTTGTCTATGCTGCGGTGCTGAGATATTATTTAAATCACTTTTATATTTTAGAGTCATACGTATTGTTATTTTACACACCTATAATTTTGGATCCTATTTTAGAATGTTACAGCCTAACTACGCACGAAAGGTTTCGTAAAGGAGTCGCGCCAGTTTGTAAAAATTAAAGCCGTTGTAGTAGTTTTGAGAAATGTTAAGTACGTTAGTTTGTTTTTTTTTTTCTCTTCGTTAAATATTCCTGACTTACTCCAATGACGACACTGTGGGAGAATTTTCTCACTTGGAAATTGTTTTCAGTAGCCGATGTGAATTCATTTGTCACTGATGTTGGCTGAGGTTTAATAGAGTCCATTAACCGTTGTTGTTTTTATGATGCCTCGACGTGTTTCCACGAGCCTGTGAGCTAATAATACCATTTTGAATTGAGTTGATACGATTTTCACATGCTCCGACGACAAACTGACCCGTCGCCCGGTAACTTGCTTAATAGTCGCATGTTCGCTATTGGAACTCACTAATGCAATTATTAAAAATCACCATTAAATTGCTTAGTGTTAACGGCGTATTATTAGCCTTCTACAAAAATACAAAAGAGAGCACGTTCCCTTCCCAGAGCACGGAAACCCTTTATTAAATTATTTACGTTTACGTTGCAGTTCATGGTGGTATACATATCCGAGCTTATTGTAAATATGCATCTTTCGGTTATCCAGCTATAGCAGGAGATCTGTTAAATGTTCTGAGTAAATTGTGCGAAATACCAATTGGTTACGCAGAACATTCCTGATATCTTTTTATACAAAATCTTTCAGTTTTATACAGTGTGCAGATTCTGTAGCAAATTCTGAGACATGGTCTCAATTGAAAACAGCGCTTCAGCTTAGATCGACTCCGTATACGGTCGTATTTCTGCTATAGGAATGTAGAAATATCTTATATTGAGTGAAAATGAGTCTTCGAGTATGCAGGTCTCTGATCTTCAAACCTTCGAAAGAAAAGGACGTCTTCTTTTAATATTATTTTCATCACACAATAACGTTATTGAATAATGTGTCTAATAAACCAAAATCTTTCTCGACTTTGATTCAGGCCATTTCTGCTGAGCTTTCCTCATTGGCTTCGCTAAGCAGAACATAAGTTTTGTGTTTGAAAATTTATATTGATTCAGTGGCACATTCTATAGGTAATGCCAACCCTATATTCACTTGAAAATCTTAATTATATTAACGTCATTTATTGAAGCGGATCAGTCAGAGTACCTTTCGCGGAAGTGTTAATCGTTTACGCGTAAGCAATCGGTATTCCTCATTCAGCAGTCTCTTATTAGGCTGATTAGATCACAGATTAAATTCTATGGAATATCTAAGCAGTGCGTGCCAATGACTCGCAGCAACTATTAGCGAAGTGTGTAAGAGTTGATACTCCGATATCGGTTAAACAAGTAGTAGTAGTATAGTACGCTTTAAAGTCAATCAATAGCAGCAGTACCGAACATGAATCTTGCGTTAGCTCGGTATCACCCTCGTCTTTAAATGAATATTCTATGAATATGAAATACACGAACGACCCCTTACGAGTCGTTTTGGCTCGGACGAGCCAGCAAACCCAGGCTTTTAGTAGAGTTATACGCATATATTATACCTCAACTATACTAAGAATTGAAATCCGCGGGTCTGTCTGAATGCGGAAAAAAAAAGACGATTGGTCAAATACGTTCGCCCTTCTAAGCTAAACTTCTTTTTCCATTATATAGTGTTAAAATTTAGTCCGCTGCAGACGGAGGCCAACAACTTCTTTGTCATTTTCCACCTTTGAAACAACCTAGCACGATCGTACACACGCATGGAGGCAGCAACTAGTCCTTCGCGTTATCATTAAACGTACAAATATTTATTTTTATGAAAACTGTGTTGTCTGAACCTCAATCTTACTGATGATCTTAAATAAGAAGATATCTCTGAGTTGCTTGTTCATCATAACTAACACAAGTGTATTTGGTTTCTTGCCTTTCAGTAGCCGGTGTCTGTCGCGAGAGCTGTGTTGTGGGCTAACAATCCATAAAAAATGTGTATTCATCACTTATGTACGCTACTCAGTTAAGCGTGATCCGCGTGACATAGGCCATCAGAAGTGACAGTCCTTCTATTTATATGAGTAGAAACTACATGGACTATATACGTTTAATGAAAACATATTACATAAATATATAGATAAACTTAAATATATAGCTAATCAGCTACCGCTCATCAACCAGCGTCCTTTCATCTATTTGTCGAGTGTACATTGACAGAACACGCCACTGCCACTAGGCATGTCCCGCTACACCCTGTCATGAGCGTAAGCGTACGAGAGAAACAAGACCAAACAAGCGCAACATCAGGATAAATAACGAAGACGCGCTAACGTTCCTTTGGGTAAGAAGGATTTGTCGAACTAATACATACAACAACCAATCCAAGTTTACGCCGACGTGCGCCCATTCGAAGACAGTTGTTGTTATTGTTGTTGTTGTTGTTCAAGCAAGCGTGCGAGAGAGATCGGTTGTTGGTGTTGCTGTTGTTGTGAAAGCGAGTCATTCAGTCCTTCTATAATATAGCTATATAATCAATTTGAATGAGATCTTGCCTCGTTTTGCTGCTAGCATATCCGCTTTATCAGGTTGCCCTCCCTCGTGATCTCGTCGAATGGTAACACAACACTAACGCAAAGTGAAACGCAGAAAACGACGTCTGCTAATGTGAGGCTCTGTTACGAACATCAGCGGTAGTCGTAGGAAAAGGATAAAAGGGGCCATAGTAGCTCTTGTAGCGTAGTAGCGTGGCCACTGGTTCTGCCTGCATAACAGTGCTTGGGGTCAAGGCTGGTTGGTTGATTGGAGTTGGAAGATTGTTGAAGTGCTGAGGAACTGATCGTGTGAGTGCTTGCGAGTGTGTTTCGTGTTTAAGTGTGAGTGTGTGTGTGTGTGTTGAGAGCTCGGCTGGAGCGGGGCGAGGTGTCTTGCCAGTCGACTGAATGAGCTCCCCGTGGGCGTCCCGGATCGCGTCCCGCGTCCCAGCTGGCCGCTATCTGCGCCACCAGCTCGCCCCCGCAGCAAACGGCTTGTCGTGCACCCTGCTGAGAGGCTATGGAAACACCACCGACTTCGTCCAAGGCCAGGCCCAGTAGACACAACCAGCGAGCAGCAGCGGCAGCAGTGCAGCAACAACATCAGCACAACCAACAACAACAACAGCAGCAGCTACAACATCATCACCATCAACACCCTCAGCCCCAACAGACGTCGCCGACTTCAGCGGCCACGAGGGATCAGCTGCAACAGCATCAGCAGCATCCGCAGCAGACGACAACGACGTTATCATCGTCCGTGTCATCGTTGTCGTTACCGCCGCCGTTGCCGCCGGCGGTACAACCATCGTTGTTAACAGGCGCTGCTGCTACCGCGTTCAATAGCGGCGGTCCTACATCGCCAGCAGTTAACAGTGCAGGAACAATCGGCCTCGGTGGACATCATTGTGCTGCCACCTTGGGCTCATCACCACTAACGACGACAACTACAGCCTCTTCAACCGAAGGAGGTCTGCCCGCCTTCACGGGCCATAGTGCTGCAAGCGGTGCTGCTGTTGCTGCGGTAATCGGAATCGCCGCCGGTTTAAGAAGAAGGGCCAGCCACGAACCCTCGTCACAACAATCGCAGGTCGCAAACCAACAGGGTTCGTCATCAGCTACTCTTACGACTGGTACGATTCATTCACATCAGCATCACCATCATCATCAACACCACGTTCATCATCAACAAAGCCAACATCAGAGTGCAGAAGGTATTGCTACGACAGGACCGGCAACGGTGTCGAGCGCCGCCAGTGGACCTAGCCAGTCAGGACAGCCAGGTAGGTACAAAGGAATATTAACTAGTCAGGTGTGTGTGACCGCGGCGAATGAAGTTAATGAGAACCATGACTGTGTAATTGTTGGTGTTAGTGAAGGTTGGTTTATATTGGTTCGGCCTAGAGCAAATTACCGATTGTAGCATGGATTAATGGAAGGATAATTCGCAGTGCTGCCTGGCCTGTCATGTAGCTAGCTGCGACTGACAGAGTCGAGCCCTAGCTGCGTTATGAAAAATAATCATTAAACAATTAGTTATGATTATACGGTCAAATCAGATCCTGCAGGTCGCTGAAAACGTGGGAAAACCTAACAGAGCATGGTCATAGGTAGAAGTTGTTTTTTCTTATAAGACGATCTGCCGTGTTTGTGATGTATAGTGTGTGGTTAAACACACTTTTGCTCTATGCTCTATGAAGTTTGACAAGTCCAACGTTCCTTCTTAACACGTTGCGCATTTATAGCAAATGGTCGATTTTTCAGCATAACTAGGACTCACAGATTGACTGTAGATCAAGCAGTGTAGAATTCCTTTTGTTTAGCACATTATCTGGTATTGCGCGTTACATTAATAGGCTAGGTACTAAATATGGCTGTGACGCCTCGCCTGGTGTATATTTTAAACTGTGGGTATCCACTGTAAGGGTCGACACCTGATGGAACATGCGATGTTGAGTTGAGTGAATGACCGGAACTATTCATACCGTATATAGTTGTGGTGTTCGTGATTATTAGAAGCAAGTGGTGGTCGTCGTAGCCACGCTATAATGGAAACCTTGTCATTTCCCGCACCGAGTGGATTTGCAAAGAGAAAGAAGAATAAATAATATTGGAACCGTTTGTCGTCTCAGTGGGAAAGACAGACGATTGACGAAAACCGGCCACTGGTTCTTATAATTGAATTAACATTTAGCTTTTTTTATTAAACGATACGCTGATGAGTATTCGTAGAGTATGGTTACCTATTTTGTGTGAGACAATTAACTGGATTAAGTGAAGTAGAATAACGTGGGTTGTCTTCCATTGTCAATGCAGTAACATCTTTTTCGTTTTTGTAGAATCTCTCTTATCAGCGGACAGCAGCCCGCAAAGTCAAAAAAGGAAGTACAATACGCGTTTGGCCTCACGTGTCGAAGATAACCTGCCTTCGAATAACGTGCAACAGCAGGGAGGTCAATCGAGTACAAGAACACATAGAGACTCGAAAGGCCCAAGTTCGCCAAAGAAGTCCAAGAAAAGCGGCCAGTCTCAACAAGCAAGCGTACCTGGTGAGTCTTTAGCTTTAGCTAAACCGTTTTCATCGAAATTTTATAATTTCTATTATCAGTGTTTGTCTACGTTGTCTGCATAAAAATGGCCTAGCCTTTTCATCCTAGTGAAGCTGGGCCTTTTTGCAATATAAATCCTCATTATCGTTCTAATTTGTTCGATTATCTTCCTCGCATGGCACTTGTTCGAGTAGTACGGCGACCCGGAGGGCGACGTCGTTCGGGAGGGGTAGTCTCATCAGCGGGCGCTCTCGCGACGGGCGCTTGTGCCTCAGGATCACCCGCCTCTCAGCACTCAGCAACGACAGCCAACAGTGGGCATCAATCGCAGCACTACTACCAACAACAGGTACAGCAAGCGGAAGGGCCCCATCATAGCCGGCAGGTGGGCGGCAGTAGCAGCAGCGCATCGTCAGCAAACGTCGCAACTGCATCCCAACATCAACACCATCTGTCGCAAGTGGGTGCCATTAGCAGCAGTAGTACGGGAACCAGCAACAGCGGAAGGCAGCAGCATTCAGCAGCCGTTGGGGGGTCGAGACCCTCCAAGATGAACAGTCAGCAACACTCACATCAACAACAGGTTCGTTCTAGCACAGCTGCAGATCCGTCATGCAGATGCAAACGAAGAAGAACCGTTTTCTCGCTTGTGTGTCGCGCATTCGTTCGGCGGAAAATGGACGAAAGTTTCTGATTGAAGTAGACATCTAACCTCTACTTCTAAAATAGTTGTAATGATTATGTTTGGCTTAATTCTTGATTTCATTTCGTTTACCGTTGCTAAATCATGGTTTATCTTGGCCATAATGAATAGTAAGCTATGACGAATTTCTACCTTGCAGTTGCCGTAAAGCTTGACGGTGTTGATATGACGAGTTAATCTAAATTGTTTCATCATCAGAGTTGCCGTACATTGCCGTGGATGATATGAGGCCAATATAAAGCTATGACAGTTTCTGCGTATTTTGGACACAAGCGTTTCTCACGCAGCTGTATATTGTTCGACGTATTTCCGGCTTATGTACTCTTTTCTGCTTGTTTACCAACAATATTGATGTTCCGGGTTTTCATTTAGAATACACGCACTTATGCCTGCAAGCGGTCAGCTATAAGCATACAGTTGTTTTTTTTTCTTGTTTATAGAATGAGCCAATGGAATCGCAGGCCAGCGTGGCAAGCGCAAACTCCTCAAGCAGTAGCAGCGCCGGCGCTAGCGGAACGAACAATAACCAAATGGACTCTCAGTCCGCTTCAGCAGCATCGGGAGGTGCATATGGTGAAGGTAGACTTATTCAGATCTTTTCTAGTTTCTCTCGTTCAAGCGCCACACAAACATGTGTAGATGAAAAAGGGTCAGAAAAACTTGATGTCATTATTTTTATTGATGATATCTCACTTTGTGGACGGGAAGGACATGGCTTAGCTGTGTAAGTGTATGAAAAATGTGTTTTGTCTCTTCCTGGTTTTGTTGACACTTATTCACGTAAGCGAAAACGGATTGTTTCGGTGCAGTTTGACAGTAGTTATGATGTATGATTTGATTTACATTGTTTTTTGGGTTAAGTGGCCGTTTCGACTCAATCAGGTGGTTCAAGTGGCGGAGCTGGTAGCGGCGGCGGCGCCGGCGAAGATGGAGATGTAAATAGGCTGCGGGAACTTCTGGAGTCGCGAGGCATTCCCCCGCAGCTGCTTGGAACATTAGGGCCTCGCATGCAGCACTTCTTACATCGATATGTGTAAGTTCTTAACATAAGCGGATATATTGAGATTTGCGCATTGTTAGAATACGGCGATAGTTCATTAGCATTTGCACTTCGGACAGAAAGTCTACGTCAAGAGATGGAAAAAGATAGAATAACTTGCGGTTATTATAGTTTGTGCTACTTCAAGAGCCGCTCATTTTACAGGAACTCTTTCTCACGCATTGTAAAGCTGCGCGTTCGCTCATTAATTATTGTTTTATGTACCTTCAGGGGTTCGATGGGCGGTGTTTCGAACCTTTCAAATGGCAATCATAGTCGTGCTACACAACTTCTAGAGACACTGCAGTCACCTGATGAGAACGAGCAGCTCGGCGCTGTAATGGAGATGTGTCAGACGTTAGTCATGGGCAACGAAGATTCACTAGCTGGCTTCCCATTCAAAGCGGTTATCCCTGCTCTCGTGGGTTTGTTAGCGGGTCCGGCCGAAGGTGGAGCAGAAGGCCGTTCACCAAACTTTGAGGTGATGCACAACGCCTGTCGCGCCTTAACGTACATGATGGAGGCGCTGCCTCGAAGTACAAGTCTCATTGCCGAAAGTATTCCGCGTTTCGTCGAAAAACTGGAAGCCATCCAATGTGTAGATGTAGCCGAACAGAGCTTGACTGCTTTAGAGATGTTAAGCAAAAAACACGCGAAAGCAATCTTACACGCCAATGGCGTTGCTAGTTGTCTCGCCTACCTTGACTTCTTCTCGATGAACGCTCAACGCTCGGCTCTGACCATAACGGCGAACTGCTGCGCCCATCTGGGCCCAGATGACTGGTCCCTAATAAAACCATGCGTGCCAATCTTGGCCCAACGGCTTGATCCTGGAGGATGTGATAACCCCGATAAGAAAAGTATAGATTGTGCCTGTGCCGCTCTTTCTCGTATCGTGGAGGCATTTCAGAATAACCCCGACGTTCTCGAGGAAGTAAGTAGTAACCGATTTAATCGAAATCAATTTTTTACATATGCATATAATAGACCATTATGAAATACTATTACAAGGTATGCTGAAGTTCGTGAATAACTGAACTGTATTGCATTGAGTCAATTTACCACGACTGACCTCGTTGGCAATTTACGCGGCTTCAATTCTAGGTGGCTCCGCGAAGTACACTGGACTTAATACAGGCGCTCGTGTTGCGAAACCCTGCGCTTGTTTCGTCTCCTACGTTCGTAATTGTGATTCGCATGTTGGCCCTGTTGTGTCAGGGTTGTCCACCCATAGCGGTGGAACTGCTCAAGAGTAGCATTGACGTGACATTACGCCATCTTCTCGTAGGCCCAGAGAAGAACGGACGCGTGGATCCGCCCGAGCTGTTGGCTCGCTCTCCACAAGAACTCTACGAGATAACGGGGTTAATTATGGAATTAATGCCCCGCCTGCCTGATGACGGCGTTTTTGCTGTTGATCAGCTGCTCTGGAGGCCTCAAGGACAACAGGCTGCGGGGGTTAGCAGTAATGTAATCACCCAAGTGCACTGGTGGTGAGTGTAACGATAGTCAAGCTTAGATTACATGTGAAGATGAGCGGATACAGCAAGCTACTGTCACAGGGAACTTGTTAATATGATCGTTGCACATTGATAATAACATTCCGAGTCATTTCGTATTTTTATTCTGCTGATGCTTTCATACCTAACTGTATATTCCTCATTTCTCTTTTGCAGTTGGCAAGATAACAACATGGAATGGCAGCCTTATTCTTTAGTGGACGGACGCTGCATAGAATCGGCACACGCCAACGGTGAGGAAGAGGTTTCGTTATCTATTAACGGAAAGACCTATTCACTAAGTTTCACGCAGATGCAGCAGACAAGTGAGGACAGCGGGACAACACGTGCCATTCGCCGAACGGTAAGCAACTGCAATCAAACATCAGGCGCTGCAACCACTAATTCTACCACTACTATTAATGTGAGTGGTCAACAGCCAATTAGCGGCGCTGGGACGAGCGCACAAGCGTCCAATACTGCGACAGTTTCGCAAACCGGAAAGAACTCGGCACCCGGAAAGACAGTACCGGCGGCTGATGGCACTGCTGCCGCCAGTGCGAATCTAGGCAAAGACGCCCGCGCCGAGTTGGTTAAGGAAGAGCCAGAACTTGTAGCAAAATTTGTGCGTAGCCTAATGAGCGTTCTGTACGAGGTGTACGGCAGCAGCGCGGGCCCGGCCGTACGTCATAAGTGCCTTCGAGCAATGCTGCGTGTCGTTTACTATACGGACGCGACGACGCTCGAGAGCATCCTGCGTGCAGATGCCGTGTCGAACCATCTCAGTCAAATGCTGTCCACTCACAACGATCTGCGGGTTACGGTAATGGCATTACAGCTAACAGAGATACTCATGCAGAAGATGCCGCATCTATTCGTACATTCGTTCAATCGTGAGGGGGTAATCCACAAAATTTCGGAACTTTCCGCGAAGCCGGTTGAACCGCTCGAATCGCACATAGCTCATGCTGTTCCTCATGTGCACAATAGCGCTTACAGCGGTCATCGAGGTTCTGGCGTTCACGGGTCCAACGGCGGCTCGGGCAGTGGTGGAAGCAGCGGTATTGGCGTCGACGCCGGGGCAGAGTTCGGTATAGCGACGAGTGGTTCGAGTCACCCGGGGGGCTCGGTCTACGGTGGAGGTGAAGCGACGACATCGGCTGAGAAGAGTCCGGAACAGCAGCATAATAATCAGCTATTCAGCCAGCGTTTCCTTGGTGACATGCTTAAGCGCAAGAGAGCCTCGGGTGCGGCGGCGGCCAACGACAAAAAGCGGGCTTCGGAATCGCGAGGCAAAGACTCTCGTAGAATGAAGGGCTCATCGTCCGGAGCATCAAGTGGGCCGTCGGCGGCGACTGCGGCGACGGCAGCGGCAGCTGTCGCAGCTCATCCGACTCAGTCAGAGTCCAAACGCGGCGGCCCGGCCACAAGGAGTAGGCTGTCAGTCCATGGAGATCTGGAAAGTCCAGAAGATACTGGCGGAGGCCACGGCGCCACTTCGGCCAAACCATCGAGCTCTGGACATAGCTCGGCGCACGGCTCGTCGAACAGCAGTCCCGTTTCGATGAGGTTTAGCTCGACAGCCGGCGGCACCGGTGGTCTTTTGGCTGGCACTACATCTGCCGGCGTCGCAGAGGCAGGCGGCGACGCTAGTGCAAGTGGCGGAGGTGGATCAAGTCAGAAGAAGGGAGGAGCCAGCGGTGGCACGGGGGCGGGTTTTTTCTCTCAGTTGGTACCTTCTCGCTTCTGTAAATGGGGCCATCCCAGTCCAAGTTCGCAGCCGGCGGCCAGTTGTAGTGGACAGCAAGGCTCAGGAGGCGGGTCGGATAGGCACAACTCGATTCAACAGCAACTTCAACGACAGCGCCAAGAAATGGTGCATAAGATCAAGCTGTGGATCCGCGACGAAAGTCAGTCGCTCAACGACAACTATTTTGCCGCCTACCGCCAGCAGTTGTGCAGGAGCACACTTGAGAAACTTGAAAGCGCGGTGGCTCTAGTCAAGGTTAGTTCTATCAATTCTTCTATATGAATATTATGTAGATTATAGTTAGTTAGGGCAACAGCCGATATGCACTATACATGGCTGTTCGTGCGCTCGTTTCCATTTTTTTTTTTGAAATTCAAGAACAATAATTACAACAGTGATATCGGGTCACGATAACGTGAAATCCTTGAATTTTACCCTTTTCAACGGAATTCTTATAGGCTGGACAGGATGACAGTGGCAAGCTCGTACAGGGCCTTAGGGAAATCTGTGACGTACTTCAACAGGGCGACGTTTCCTCATTTGAGCTCATTCATTCGGGCATGGTTGGGGCACTTCTCGACCTGTTTGCTGAACCTGGCCCGGAGGCATTTGTGCGCAACGCCAAAATCATTCTGCAGGTGTTCGCAGGTGTAGACGTCGTAAGTAGTACATTTGTATTTGCAGAATGTATACGTCTGTAAGCAGTAACAATGCTGATAGACCGAAAAGTGCTATACCTCATTTACAGCGTAGAAGTGATATATCGCGTAACGAATTTTCCATTAATATATTTGCAGTTGCTGAACGCTTGCGAATCACAAAGTGGTCCATGCACGGTGGGTGATTCGACCTTGTTGCTCACACTGGTCTCCCGCCTCAGCTCATGCGTGTCTCAGCTGGAGCAGTTTGCCCTCAAAGTGCACGACGTGCCTGGCGGTATCGGTGGCACACGAGGCACTTCGGCTCTGCGTTTCTTTAATACCCATCAGCTCAAGTGCAATCTCGAGCGACATCCCAGCTGTGCTAACCTAAAACAATGGAAGAACGGACCAGTAAAGATCGACCCGCTAGCGCTGGTACAAGCAATCGAGCGCTATTTGGTGGTGCGTGGTTATGGCCGGGTTCGCGATGACGACGAATGCGGCTCGGAGGATGATAACAGTGATGAAGATTTGGACGAGAGTATGCTGTTAGGCAGCTCGCAGGGACACAGCCGCCACCGGCTACAATTCCTTATCGGCGAAACGCCACTGCAGTACAACATGACGGTGTACCAGGCGATCAAGCAGTACTCGCACCTGGCCGACGGCGGGGCGCACTCCGAGACGGATTTGTTTGACGCCAGCCTTGGCTTGGATTCGGCATCTTCCGCCGTCTGGACGCACACGCACACGATATACTATCGACCAGCTATTGCTGACGATTTAGGTCAGAATGGAACGGGCCAGCGAAAAAACAAAACTAAAGGTTCAGGCGGGAAGAAGCCAACGGCGAAGGACGAATTGTGGAATGAAGGTTTTAGTCCAGCTCCATCCTGTCCAATTGAGGACGCTCTTGCAGCTGGTAAAAACTTAGTGACCAAGCTGTCTGATCCGTCCCTACGGATGCTTGCGCTGTTGCGCGTACTCTACACACTTAGCCAACACTGGGGTTTACTGTATGGCGTCCACAACTTTATGCCAGCCCTACAAGAAGAGGTCTTTCTCAATGCAAAATTAAGTAATAAAGCACTCCGTCAGCTGCAAGATCCCTTAGCTTTGATGACAGGAAACATCCCACCATGGCTAAAGACACTGTCGGCCTTCTGTCCGTTTATCATGCCATTCGAGACACGTCACAACCTTTTCTACAGTACTTGTTTCGATAGGTACGAAAAATTCATTTTTTATTTTTGCCTTTGTTAGCTTATGTTGACAACGAACGTTTTATAGACGTTGACTTTCAAGATTGGTTTGCTTTCGTTGTATATCCTTTCACCAACTCAGTGTTCTTCACTTGACTATGGCAAAGCTCGCAATGTCCCTTTGAAGGTTGGGTGACATTGGTGAAAGAATAAAAAATAGATTCTTGCTTTTCGTTTTGCATACTTCTAACAGCTGGTTGATTTTCTTGAATTTACAGAGATCGTGCACTGCAACGTTTAATGGACTCTAGTCCCGAATTATCATCAGGGGATTCCTCAGAACGCGTAACACCCCGACTTGACCGAAAGAAACGAACAGTAAACCGAGAAGATCTCCTCAAACAGGCTGAAGTCGTGTTCAATGAGATCTCACTTAGTAACAGCCGTGCGATGCTCGAGATTCAATACGACAATGAAGTAGGCTCAGGGCTTGGTCCAACACTCGAGTTCTATGCCCTCGTGTCTCGCGAATTGCAACGTTGCGACCTGGAGATGTGGCGTAACTTTATGACCAGCACTGATCGCGCACTTTATCATAAAGGTGGCGAAAAGAAGTACGTTTTTTGCCCCGGAGGCCTTTATCCTACTCCCGTTGCGCGAAATATCAAGTCATCTCAGTTAAACAAGATAAAGAATCGCTTTAAGATGTGCGGCAAGTTTGTTGCTAAAGCTTTGATGGACTCCCGCATGCTGGACATGCACTTTTCGGTGCCTCTGTTTAAGTGGATGCTGGGCGAGGAGCGCTCGTTGGGATTGCGAGATATCCAGCACATCGATGAGCAACTGTTCCGTCATCTCTGCAAACTACAAAGTCTTGTTGAGCAGAAAAATCGCATTATCGCCCAAAACAAGTATGAATTTATTGTTCCCATACTGTTATTGAGACTAAGCCCGTGCCAAACTCGTGCTATAGTTACCAGCCATTGCTATGGTTGTTAGCAACATTGTGTATAATTTTACTGTTTTTTTTTTCATATTTTTTAGGAATCTGACCGGTCCTGCCTTGTCGAAGAGTCTCGAGAAGCTCACTCTGGATGGGTGCTCAGTCGAGCTTTTAGGCCTGGACTTCACTCTGCCCGGTTACGATATTGAGTTGAAAAAGGGCGGTGCGAATGTAGCCGTCACAATTCACAATCTGGACCAGTATATTCGGCTTGTCGTCTATTGGACACTGGTGGAGGGCGTACGCCGGCAGATGGACGCATTCAAAGAGGGTTTCGAGAGCATCTTCCCGATGGATTCGCTCGGACACTACTTCCGTCCAGCCGAGCTAAACCGGGCACTGTGCGGCGATTCAGCGCACTGGTCAATGGATATTCTTCGCAGAGCCTGCAAGATCGATCATGGCTATACTATAGAGTCACGTGCCATCCAGTTTCTGTTCGAAATCATGGAAGAGTTTGACGAGGGCCAGAGACGACAGTTCTTGTTGTTTGTCACTGGCTCACCACGTCTACCTGTCGGAGGTTTCTGTGCTCTCGTGCCACCACTCACGATTGTTAAGAAGAGCTCAGAGGGACAGCCGTCAGACAAATACCTACCATCGGTTATGACATGCGTCAACTATCTAAAGTTGCCTGACTATTCTACGAAAGAGGTACGAAATGAGATGCTTTTGTCTCTCTATTTGACATAACTGATCATATGTTTTTATCGACTGCGTTGCGCGACGTTGCAAAGCCACGCAAGCCTGCGTAAATCTTGTGTGTGTCTAGCCTAATTACTGATCTAATAATCTATCGTTTTCGCTTCTAGGTGATGCGGGAAAAACTGTTGGTCGCTCAATCAGAGGGCCAGTGTTCCTTCCACCTCAGTTAATGGAGTGTGATGTCTGGAAAGGAATTTAATGGGACGAAAGGATAGGAAAGCAACAGACTCGGTAAGGTGTTACCGAGATTTGAGTAGGACCAGTCGTTTACAACCAGTTGACTGGCCAACATGACAACAGCCATTATCGGTTATTGATGAAGCGTTGAGAAATGATAATATGAGCAGCCACAGCGAGAATACCACCTAACAACTAATACTAGCGGAGAAAAATATCGAATTCAGATACTCGACAAATTACACCTGAAAAATAGAATGACGAATGAGAGCTACTACAGACAAGCAGTGAACGACGTGTCATCGGCGAAGAATCAACAAGCTCTGAAATTGACTTCTGCGCTATGCTAACGAGATGTAACAGCGGACTCGGATGCGTACCGTACGACTTCATCAAGGTGACTGAAAGTGACTGTGGGATAAATAGGGACGAGAGGGTGAAAAAGAAACAAGTGGAATGTGTGGAGTGGCTAATATACGGAAGTGTCGATGAAGACTGTGCAAATGTGCGTAACTATGATTACGTAT